AAGGTTTATTATGATTTTCTAATGACTCATTTTTGCACCCGCACTGGCAAGTCGCTATATATCGGTTATTTACATTTATTTATGATAGAGTTATTTATGATGGGCACCTTTATTTTGTGACCAAACTGCCGCAACCGTCTGTGATTATTTATTACGTACACTGTATTTTTTCATTAACCAAAAATTTTCAATAAATAGTTATATGAAATGTGTTTATACTGTATATAAATTAGCAAACGTTAATCTTTCACTTTGGCGCGTAATGCATGTAGTAATAGGTAGGTAATGTATAATTTAATAATACCTTCAACAAAAAAGTTAGGGGCGCATTATAAATCGTGCACACAGGCGCTACTAAACATTGGCGCGGCCCTGAGCGCACCCACCTTCGTTGGAAAATGCGCTAAAAAAGGTGCATTTAATTCGAGAATAGGTACGGCACGTAATTATTAGTTAGTCCAGTATTCAGTTTCTTTTGGTTTTTGAAGGTAGTGCTTTGCTGAGTTCATATGAATTCGACAAAGCACATCATAATTTAAAAAAAAGGAGGAATTAATTCAGGAATAGGACACTTAATTAGCACCTAATTATGCAAAATGGTTGATTGTGTTCTGCCAACCTTACTGTTTGATTAGTCACCTTTGGAATTTTTATTAATATGTGGGAAATCCAGGGGCGGACTGGCCCGGGGGGGGGCGGTTGATGTTAGGTTGTTCATTCAAAAAATTCTGTTTTTATGTATAAGTGTTTTACAATGAATTTATCATTTTTTGTCGTATGAAAGTGCTGAAACACAATGATAGGCGAAAAAAACTGTATTGTAATTGATTTTCGAGATAGGAATACTTTAAAATGAAGCAATGCACCGCAGAGCTCCCCCCGCCTCCCCACCAACTACCGTAATACTTTACCCGTAACCTATGCAACCGTAAGTACCCAGTCCGCCCCTGGGGAAATCGTACTTAACTTGAACTTCATTTTTTATCGCTCGTTAGTCGTTATACTTATTGTTAGATTTTTACATCTGTAATTTTTTGCCACTGGACACAGTTACAAATAAAAAAAAAAGCCATAACCCTGGGTGGGCAACAGAGACCCCCCATAAGTAATTTGGAGTGGGCATGTGCCCACCTATAGACACATCCTTGGCTACGTGCCCGTGAACCAGGAAGTACTCTTGCATCATTTGGAATCCAGTGTAGTAAATTTGGATCACATAATATCCAGTTAGTGCGACGCCATATATAGCGGTTTGTGCTGACCTGGCGTAGCGTCGTCTCAACACCTGATTTCGAATGAAATAAAACACGCAAAAAACGTGGGGCAGTAAAGACACGCTCTCAAGGCTTCTTTTCTAAACCCTGCGTATGTGACGGCACGATGCCAAATGTGCATAAACCAGTGTGTTGAATCGCCCTTGCAGTTTTGGTAACACAAAGATTTGACAAAATGTAAGCAAGTATTGTCAAGCAATTATCATCGACACAGTTTACTACAAACTTGGACTTGAATTTTTTGATCCAAGAGTACAAATCTGCGACATTGATTAAAGAATAAATGAGAAATTAGTTGTATCTTAGTAGATACACTTCAGGTGATTCCTGCAAAGAAAATGAAACTTTTGTAAAATCATTACAGAAGAAAATTAAGCACTTTTGAAATTCATTTATTTTATGATTGAATAAAGCCACTTGACAGTAAAAACATCATAAATGCAATTTAGTCTACTTCTACATAGTGGCACAAATTTAGCATATTACAAGAGTATGAAATCACAATGCTATTGGAACATCTTTTAACAAGTGATACAAGTACAAATTATTTACTGCCTAATTTGGAATGATATTGATTTCCACAGTCAGGTAAAGGTTGAGGCTATCAATAATAAAAAAGAAAAGTAGTAATGATGGAAAACTTAATTATAATACGTAAAGATAATATGCGTGGAACTTAAAGCTGACCACAATCGGCAACAATAATTTTCTTGGAGGTCTTTCCAGATTGTGAACCAAGTGCTTCGATTTTCTTTACAACATCCATTCCCTCTACTACTGCACCAAAAACCACATGCTTATTATCGAGCCATGTAGTTTTAACAGTGGTAATGAAAAATTGGGAACCGTTTGTGTTGGGCCCAGCATTGGCCATCGACATGATTCCAGGGCCCGTGTGCTTCAAGGTGAAGTTTTCGTCCTGAAACTTGTTACCATAAATGGACTTTCCTCCAGTACCGTTGTGATTGGTAAAATCACCGCCTTGGCACATGAAATTCGGAATAACACGGTGGAAAGTTGAGCCTTTGTATCCGAAACCCTTCTCCCCAGTGCAGAGAGCTCGGAAATTTTCACAAGTTTTTGGAGTAACATCAGTCCGTAGCTATAAATAAAAAAGAAAAATTTATAACATTTATATATAAATTATGACTAAGTAAAATATTCCGTTGGCGGGGCGAGGGACGCGGATTAACGCGTCGCTAAGCACATGCACAAATTTTCACTATTAATTCCGCATTTTTCAATATTCACTTAATAATGCGAAAATTTTCCAGAAAAACTTGATAAAGCGCAGAGAATTTGATAATGGAATCTTAATTAACATGTGTTAACCGGCGGCCGGCATAATGAAACGACTAGTGAAGGACATCAGCCATGCACAATAAAAAGCGAAAAATACACTTACCTCGATCACAATTCTTCCCACAGGTTGATTATCTGCGGTCATATCAAAAAATACGCGAGGGTGTTCCATTTTTTGTGCTAAAAATCTCACTGCAGAAGCAGATATCAATCGTGCTCGAAAGATGCGAGAGGGAAGTGGGCACTGGAAAGAGGGAAGAAAACTCGCTTGGCGACAAAGCGTACGAAGTGCCATCTTGCAGGAAACCGCAATATATCGCTGTTGTCAAATTTCATTATTACAGGAGGAATTACGTAACTTGGGATTTGTTATCGCTAATCATTTCTTAATTAAAAGTCTTAAAAGTATTACAGATACGCTACGTAAACATTGCATTCCACTTTTGATTAAAAATGATGGCGTGTGAGAGTATAATCGATATATCTGTATTGTGAATAAGAATAGTTTACTTACCTTTAGAAACTCGAATTACTCCAGCTGATTGACCCTATTTTTAGTTCGCAGTAGCTTTTAACAGCTAAAGCGTGGTATCGATTGTAAAACCATTTTACACATATTTAAGTATTTGTACTTATTACTTTTAAACACTAACGAAAGCAATCCTTTTTCTGTTCGTCCGTCAGTTTGTCCCTAGTCATCAAGTCCTATCTGTATTTTATCAAAATAGCGCATGCAAGTTTTAAAATTGTGTTTGTTAGAAAACCAATCCTAAAGACTCTGTGGAGACATCGAACTTTCCGACTAGGTAATATAAACATTTGCGCTCCTTTTTGCCCCCTGTGCCACGGTGTTGTAACATTCGAAATCTTTTTCGTATCTCTTCTTTTGTGCTCTCTGATATGTGCTATGTTTTCATACAAATAATGTACTTTTATGGCTTTTGAGTTTTTCGAATATCATCTTCTCGAGATAGCATACACCGTGGTCTAAGTGGGTATTGCCTTGTCTAAGCTACGCTAAAATCCGGCGTTCCGGCCACCGGCTTAATCAAAGAGCATAGATTCTCCATTGACCTTTCAGTTAGGGACGATAATAAGATATTCTTTATTCATGACCTATCTAAAAACGTTATGTTTGTATTCTTCATAGACATAGACATTTTCAGGGATCATACATCCTTTAGGAATATTTCTTGTAAGATTTTTAGAGACTCTTAACTGATTGTATACATATGTTTAAGGAGAATATATGTAGCTTGGAAATTCTGGAGAGAATGAGTTGGTAGAGCAGTTTCCTTAGTTATGGGAAATCACATCAAAATTTCTAAAATTCTGCAAGAAATTATTTTACATTTTTTTTGATTTTTAAGAATCTTGACAGAAACCGTTTTTGATGAATTTGTCGTGAATCTTTTAGAACCTGTAAAGTACCTCAAGAATTTTTTAGGGCTCTCTGAGCTGAGAAATCTCTGGGCTCTGGACAAACAAAAGAATATGTTTGCCGAATCTTCTGTGAATTAAAAAAATGTATATAATATTTTCTACAAATTCTCAGAAATTACCTGAAAGATACCTAAAATTGTAACAATTTTCAAAAAATGTATATATATTTTCTAAAAAAGTTTACGTAAGTAATAACTTCTGAATAAGTTTTGGAAGAACCATCATACAAAATCTTGGAAGATGAGTGTCTAATTGCTAGGCAACTGATTTTCATTACCTAAACAACCCAAATTTACTCAGTAAAATACAAACTGTGCAATTATAAGTGAGATAACAAATATAGTAGGTCTGACACTCACATGCACTTTTATTTCGTAAGCAATACTGTTTGCAACAATGTTCGGATCATAAAACCATAAAAATTGAAGTGGTTCCCCCCTTGGGCACGCGCGGGAAACTTCATATCTTGGTCATGGGAGGGTTAAGTCACTCAAAGTCTAGAAAACCTACTTATTCCCTAAAAATGGCTAATGAGCACGCTTCGATGACATGTTGTATAATTAATCACTCCATGGATTTGAAGGAATGTATCATTACAGACAGATAAATAAAGAAGGATATTAAAAAATCGTTATTTGTACGTACAACTAGAGAAGAAAGGTGGAGTTTCTTAACTCGAGTTCAAAGTTTAACATATGAGCGTAGAGTGTGTCAATTGAGCGAAAACTATCAAAAAAGCATAAATCACACTTCGTTATAGGAACTTTTTAAACTCCACAAGATGGTGCACAGAATTTCATTGCAACGTTTCGGTCTTGAGTAATCATGAGTAACTTCATATTTTTATATAGATCGGAAAAAAAGGTGGGTATGCGATATTGAGACATCGGCATAGTACCTCTATTATTTTTTAATACAAAAATAAACATGGATCTCGCAAGATTCTAATAAGATGGTGCTACGTACGTATCATACACTATCGAAAACATTCGTTTATTGGAAAAATGAAATTTCATTTGCTTGATCTCAACTCTAAATATTTCAAAAATTGTGTGGTTTGGTTTAACACTTCTAGATGTTTAAGTATACAAACTTCTAATCTAATATGTATTTGGACAATGTCATTCACCATTTATAACCGCTTTTTTCTCGTATTCTTCTGCTTGGGTAAAAGTAGCCATATATGGACACTCATTATACGAGACAATTGTATATAAGGTAAAATATGAATTTAAGAAATTGTTTGAGTTGATTTATTATCCCAATAAGTGTAGTTAGAACTCTTGCCAGTTTTCGATGAAAAGATGAAATGAAAAGAGAACATAAATCGGTCCCCCGTTAGCAAACAGTAAACATAGATTAATTGTTTGCTGTAAGCCAAGCTCCAATAATGTTACGAACTGGCAACTACGCTTTTTGATGTAATTGAAAGGGAGGTAGTACGTCATCACTAAGTGATACAATTAAGTACTTAGTGATAAACTATGTCAAGTTGTTTGTACTTGAAAGGTTTAAATTGTAGCCATGTAATTACTACCATAATTTCTATAAATAATTCTTCAAAATTATCCATATTCATCTATCAAAATTTAAATAGCAAGTTTTCCCGCCAAACGGTAGCATCCGTTTTCCATATTTAGAGATTGTAGTTTTTGTTGTATTCACTGTGTATTTAGTGTTTTGTATGAATACCAACTTTTTTTTTTAAATTGCGTTAGTATTAAACCATTTGAATAAAGTGATAATTATTTATTATTATTTAACCATAAAATACCAACGTAAATAGTGTAGTAGGAATGTCAGATTTTTCTATTGATTAGTTTAATTACCGGTTGTATAAGCATCATAAACATGAGTAATTTAGGAGCTTTTGCCGGTGGAAAAAATCCCGCATGGGGACGGACAGCAGTTTCAAACGCTTCGAATAGTTTAGTGAGCCAGAATAATGCTCTGCAACAGCAGTTACTTAATCAAAGTACACTCGGAAATATGAACACCTCCGGAATGGTTCAATTTCAGCAGCAACACCAACACCAAGTTTTTCAAAATGCTATGGGAATGCCACAACAAAACCTAAGCTTAGGGTTGCAACAAATTTCTAACCCCTCCGTGGCCATGAGTGGCATGAACGCCGGCTTAGGGACACAACTTACATCAAATCAACTGTTTCAACAAGTCGGTGCCGTAACATACCCAAATCCTCGAGCTTTAAATCCTACAGCTTTCCAAACCCAAACAGTTACGGCAGTACAACCTGCAGCTAACACCAGTGCAAAACAGAGAGTGTTCACGGGAACTGTTACAAAGGTGCACGATAACTTTGGGTTTGTCGATGAAGACGTTTTTTTCCAAACATCGGCTTGTGTAAAGGGTTCAAATCCTACAGTAGGCGATAGAGTTTTAGTTGAAGCATCGTACAATCCTAATATGCCTTTTAAATGGAACGCTACTCGAATTCAGGTACTTCCGACATCGAATCCGTCAGTTACTACTCGAAACTCGGGTAATCAAAAGAGTAACATTTACAATGCAGTACCTCCACCCGGCGAGAACAACACGAGTTTCGGAAAAAATCAACGAAGTAAAGCTGCACTGGGAGGGCGTGGTAGGGAGAGATCTAGAGATAGGGATCGGGAGGAGGAAGATATGGAAAGAAAAAAACGACGTGAGGAAAGAATGAGGGAACGTGAGAAGGAAGAGAAGAAGTCTCCTCTACGTAGGCGATCTCGTTCCCCCAAGTCAAGGCGAAGGTCCAGAATTGTACCCAGATATATGGTGCAAATTCCAAAAATTAACTTGGATTTGTAAGTACCTTTTATGAATAGGCGCACTAGTATCTAGGGGTCTTTCATCTGTTCTTGTACTACTTACTTCGTAATTTTTCAATTCATGAAATTTAAAAAAAAAATAAGTTAAAAATTCCCAAATTCTCTGAAGATACTAATTATAAAAATTCAGTATTCATAAAATATATGAATACAGTACAACCTCGTTAATCCGAATGGATTCGGACCACCGACCTTTCCGATGATCAAATTTTCGAATTATCGCGAAACTAGTGAAAATAATAAATTTGGACAGAATCATTAAGAAATAAACTTTATTCTTTTCAACGTCATCAGGGGTGTCATCGTTGTTACGAGGAACGAAATTATTTCGGACTATCGCGATTTCGGATTAGCGTGTATTCGGATTATCGAGGTTGTACTGTATATAAAAATGTATTAAAAGTCAAATAACAATAGGAAAAATTCTAAAAGTTAAATAAAATTGGGAAATTTTGAAAAAGTGGAAAAATTTGCGATATCAAAAATGACCCCAAAGATATAGGTAAGTTGTTTTCCCATCACATGGACAGGCTTGGGAAAAAAAACTTATATCCACATTCAAATCTATATTTAAACCTTTCCAATAAAAAAATTGGGAGTCTATTGAAATCACTCCAAATTTCGATTTAAGATTCCACCGGATCTTTCTGTTTCAATGCCCTGGAGTCCAAAAGTGTCTTTTAAAAAATGTCTATGTACGTTATGTACAGTGGCGGAGTAGCTACCATTGGTGCCCGGGCGATCCCCCAAAATTGCGCCCTCATACACCCCCCTCTCACCCTCGCTCTCACCTCTCCCATTCGCCACTAAATTAACAGCTTGAGAGGTACAATGAAAACATAATGTATGTACAGTCTCTTGTAAAAGTAATGTCCCTCGGATACCTACCACTGTAGCATAGGCAACCAACATCCCAGCCGACTAGTCCAAGTTGGATTTGCGGGTGTGGGAGGTAGGTAGGTATCTAATGCGGTTCGTTTTCAGCAGGTATTCCCACTTTGCCAAACTAAAAATAAGTTAGTAGAATGAAAATGAATGGCATCGATTTATTAGCTCAAAAGATCTGCGCTGCTTTAACCTATCCTTGGTTTAATACAATAGAAATTTTTACATTTCAATTGGTTTGGTTCGTTTTAAATTTGGAAATAGTTTAGCTAAAATAATGACATTTACTTTTAATTTTTTCGAGTAGATTTTCTTCTAACAAAATAAATGTGATGATTTTGTCGTTTTATACTGACATTGAAATTGAAGTCTCATTATTAATTACTCGGGCCTCCTAATGGAATGCGATTATCTGCACTGGAAGCGCAACAATGCCGTTCCTTTTGTAACTACCACCTCCCATTCCTTTCAAACCCCGGGATGGCACCCGCGGAAAAATTCAGCTGTTTTAATTATTTTTCCCTAATTTCTAATCATTTCACCTGCATGAAAAAGCCGGTTTAACTGGTAACTAATTTTTTTGTCAAAAAATATTATACCTATAACCTGGACTAAATATCCTTATAATATGCCTACCTACTCAAAAATATGCAACGTAAAAGCTCTCCTAAACTAAATTCGATATTAAATCAACCACGACCAAGTATCACAAATGCATATCATTTAATTTCTGATGCTAGTTACAAAAGAAAGGTATTGTTGCACAGTGCACTTGTAGGGCAATTAATCGCATTCCATGAGGAGACCTACTCGCAAGTAATTATTAATGACACTGGAATTTCAATGTCATTAAAGGACAAGAATATCACCTTTATTTCGTTAGAAGAAAACCTACTCAAAAAATTAAAAAGTGAAAGGCCATTATTTTGTCTTAATAGTCTCTAGCTAAACTATTTGCAAATTTAAAACGCACCAAACCAATTGTAAGAAATGTAAAAATGTTTACTGCACCAAGCCAAGGATGTGCAGCGCAGATCCTTTGAGCTAATAAATCGATGGCATTCACTTTTATTCTACTAACTAGTATTTAGTTTGGCTAAATGGGAATATCTGCTGAAAATGAATCGCATTACTATAGATAGCTACCTCGCACACCCGCAAATCCAACTTGGACTAGGCGACTGGGATGTTGGTTGCCTATGCTACAGTGGTAGGTACCTATCCGAGGGACATTACTTTTACAAGAGACTGTACATAACAGAGTGTTCCAAATTGCTTGTTTTCAATGTTTTTCGGTTATATTTGGAGAACCAACACAAATAGAATGATAGATGTTGTCTAATTAGAAAAAAAAAGAATTTATTGGTGCAGAGAAAATTAACACATCATAATAATAATAATAATATTTAATTGCCCAACAGAACAAAAATTATTCCAATTATAGGACAATATTGTGTAATACTACAGACGGCACATCAAAATAACATAAATTAAGCTACCAATACATATATATATATAGAAATTGATTCAAAACCCATTAAAAATCAACAATCATATTTAATGCAATTATAAGTAAGAGTATCTAATGCAAAATAAATGGATCAATGCAACTTAGTAAGTTGTTTAAAGCAGAACTGAAAATATCCTTATTTCCGCAAAATTTATTATATATTCTAGAAGAATTAAAAATCGGCGACATAAATAACACGTTAGTTCTTGGTAGTGGGAGATGAAATGGTAAACTATTGCGAGAATGGTAAGGCGGTACAAAAAAGTTAATTTGGTACAGTAAGTCAGGAGCATCAGTCCTGTGATGCAGGATGTTAAATAGAAATGCTATGTTACATTTTAACCTTCTAGCCTCTAAACTAGCGACATGAAACTGGTTTAACAATGCAATATGGGAGTATCCTCTAGGAGGGTAGACGTAATTCACTTTATAATAAAGAAATTTGAGGAATTTCCTTTGAATAGATTCAAGGGAATGTCTATGTTTCTTAGTTGTAGGGTACCAAATTGGTGAACAATATTCAAGCTTACTTCTAACTAGAGCAAAGAACAATGATTTAAGCGCTACAACGTTTTGGAGTAGTTTACAGTTCCTAAATATAAAACCAAGCGCAGACATTGATGAGCGAGATACTGCAGTAACATGATGTGAAAACGAAAACTTACTGTCAAAGTAAACACCGAGATCTTTCACCACATCAGTTCTTAGTAGTTGAGAGGAATCAAGCATATAACCATAAGCAATCGGCGAATGTTTTTTTGTATAGCTAACTATTTTACATTTAGCACTATTCAGTAGCAAAGAATTAGTCAAACTCCATTGCACAAGACTATTTATCTGTTGTTGCAAAAAGTCACAGTCACTAGTAGACGACACTTGCGTGAATAGTTTTAAATCGTCTGCGTATAACAGTGCACCACACTTCAGTATATCAGTTAAGTCATTTATATACAAAATAAACAAAAGTGGCCCCAAAATTGAACCCTGAGGCACACCAGAAGTAACCATCACGAAATCAGAAGAAAAATTGTTATATAAAACACGCTGAAATCTATTGCTTAAGTAAGACTTGAAAAGCATTTGTAGATTATAACGGGTGTCCCAAAATTAACGCAAGATTTGAATTTGCCGCCATTTGTGCGGTGAAGTGTTGGCAACCCTGAAAAAAAGGCAATTTGACAGCTAACAGTATAGGGTTATTAAAAATGGAGCGTTACACGATAGAACAACGTGTCTTCATTATTAAAGAATATTTCAAAAATAGTGAAAGCTTGGCGGCTACAGTTCGAAAATTTCATACAAAATATGGTCGGAATAGTGTTCACATTCGAACGGCTTGTTTTTGGACGACCAGTGTGTTTGGCGTCTCCAACGGATCCAGTCTCCATGAATTTTTCAATTAATATCTTCACAGTTGACGAAGTTAAAACACTATTCCGACCATATTTTGTATGAAATTTTCGAACTGCAGCCGCCAAGCTTTCACTATTTTTGAAATATTCTTTAATAATGAAGACACGTTGTCCTATCGTGTAACGCTCCATTTTTAATAACCCTATACTGTTAGCTGTCAAATTGCTTTTTTTTCAGGGTTGCCAACACTTCACCGCACAAATGCGGCAAATTCAAATCTTGCGTTAATTTTGGGACACCCGTTGTTGAAGCCAAAGTTGTGGATCTTCGCAATAATGATGTCATGCGGAATGGTATCAAGGGCTTTACTAAAATCTGTATAAACGACATCAACTTGACCGCGTTTGTCGATATTCTCAGATATAATGTGCGATAGGCACGCTAAGTTGGTAGTTGTGGATCTGTTTTCCATAAATCCATGCTGGTGGATTGATATATGTCTTCTTACATTCGGGTATTCCTAGCATATAGAACGATTTCATAAATTTTTGCGAAGTTGTTTAAAATGCTCACAGGTCGATAATTTTGACATCTCTAGAGTCACCGTGTTTTAAAACAGGCGTAATATTAGCACTTTTCCACCTATCAGGAAACACATTTGTTGCTAATGAAAGATTAATGATACGTGTTAATGGTACAGCCAACACAGCAGAACAGTCTTTAATAAGAAACGCAGGGATCATGTCAGGTCCAGAAGTACGACCACTTTTTCAACTTTTCTATAGCAGAGCACACTTCATCAACAGTTACATAATCAACTGAGACATCAGGAGCATTGCTAGACACATAGAAGCCAGAAACGTCCCTATTAGTTAGTGGAGAGTAGACACTTGCAAAGTATTGACTAAATGCCTGAACAATACCCTCAGGGCTATCCCAATTATCATCATTATACGTTACACTGCACGGGATACGAGAACTACCTCTCTTGGAGTTAATAAAATTCCAAAAACGTTTGGGATCAACAGTGATGGTATTTTGTACGTTACGAATGTGACTCTTGTAAGCTGCCTTGATTAGTATCCTGAGATTGGCACGTAGATTCTTGTAATTGTTCAAGTGTGCTAGAGTTCTGTGCTTCTTAAGCTTCTTAAGCGCTCTGTGCTTCTTAAGCTTCTTAAGCGCTGAGAACTTGAGACGTATAACACGCTTAATTTGTGAAGTATAC